ATACTGTAGACTTTGGAAAACCAGTCATTTTAATTATTTCAGAGGGTTTTCGTATATTATTATCCCATAGCTCCTTAACAGTCAACCTTTGCATTTCAAATACCGAAGTGGGTGCCATGATTTTATTTTGCTGCTGATAAACAATCAGGTGAGAATTTTTCACGCTATATTTATGTTTAAAAAGGGCTGATCAACTTCCATTTTAATTATTATTTTGGTTGCACAAGACTTGGTGTGACAGCACTCCTTTATGCATAAAAATAAAAATTCCAAATATTTATGTCGTAAACTGTATACTTAATTAATATAATAAACTATTTTTCTTTAATAATAAATATAAATTCAGTTATATTATATTTAATTTATAATAAAAGTAATTAAATAATTAGATGATTTAAGTTATTTAAAGGTCATTCAGATTTAAAATAGCTAATTAATTTGGTTATTTACCATTACTGTGAGTCTATGATATATTAGTTACAGTATATATATTATATTAATGTATAAGACTAATTTTAATCCAGGGTAATTTAACCTAAGTGATTTAACCTACTAGTAAATTTGATATAATTATCATGTGATAAATTTGATTGGACTAACTAATATTTATAGTTACATTATTTTAACTATTATTTTTTCATTTTTTTCTTTCCTTTTGTTTTTTTTTCTTTTCATTTTATTTTCCTTCCTTTTTCCATTCCATTTGTTTATTATTTTTATCTGCTTTCTTTTTTTTTTCTTTAGTATATTTTTTAGGTTTTTAGACTCTTCTGGGGTTTACAATTTCTAATATAGTATTACATTTTAATGTGTTAAAAAGATACATTCTTTTTTTTTGTTAGTTTGTTTTTTAATTTTGTTTTTTATTAACTATATTTTCTTTTTTTTATACTGTTTTTTTAACTCCTTTTTCTTCAATATTATGTGACGCATTTGCTTTTAATTTGCTTTTATAAATTTTGGCTGAAATTTATTCTGAAACTTAGCCAAAAGTTATATGTCCAAAATTTCTTATTTCGATTACAGTGCGGCACCTCTATAACCAACCCAATTTTATAGTCATAATGTGACATTTTCAAAAAGATGTTACATTAGCAAAAAATAATATTTTAAAATTCTAACCGATAATTTTAATAAAACATATCAAAAGCTTTTAAACTTATCAGATTAAATTAAAAAATAATAAATTTTGCTAGTGTTACATAAGTTTAAAGTTCAGGTAATTTATTATGATGGGAAAAATTTGAGAATAAGTAATGTTTGTGTAACATAAAAAAAACAATCATTTGATAGTACTTATTCAAATAAATCATTTTAGCTTACAAACTTACCTATGATTTGTTGAAAAAATTTTGAAAAAAAATTAAAAAAAACTTTGGTAGTTTTTATTTATTACAGATTATATTATGCCTATTTCTCAAAAAGAAATTACAGGAAAACTTGCTAAAAAAATATAAATCCTATAGAAAAGTTCCTGATGATATACTTAATTAAATTACTTTTAAATAATTATAATGAATAATAAATTATATATAAAAAATTATGTATAATTCTAATTAACATTAAGTATTACATTAGCCAATCAAATTTATTTTAAGTTATGTGATTTTGTATTATGTTAGCAAAAAAAATTGAGAAAATTTTTTTATTTGCTTAATGTATTTATCTTTTTAAAAGCTATCTAATTTTAAAATTTTATAAAATTCTGACCATTAGATCACAAGATATAAGGGGTACCTATTATAGAGGTACCGCACTGTAACACATAACTTCCATCACATGACTTTTATCACGTAATCCCATCATAAATATCATATCATATCACATGATTCATAATCTTGTGATTTTTCCTTTTGGTATATCATTTATCCATATCCTTTTAGTATATTATTATATGATTAAGTTTAATATCTAAGGTTACAATAGATTTACTATAGTAAGGGTAAACTGCATGCTAAATATTTTCAATTAAAGTAAATGAGTTTTAATTTTCTTCATCTATAACAAAAAAAAAATAGTTTAATTAAAATTTAATAAATCAAAAATTATATGCAAAAGAAATTACCTTTAAAATTAATATAATTAATATTAAGTTTAGTAAAATCATTCAGTTTGTTAATAAGAATTCTGTAAAATAAAAGAATAATTATTACTCTAAATAGATTTAAATAATTATATTTAATTAAAATTACCTGAACATTCCAAATCATCATTGTCTGCATTTTTGGATTCTAGAAGATCTTTAAAATCCAAAAGTTTACTTATATAAACTGCTTAAGGATGTGTTGCATATAAGAGATTATCAGATGATAATGGTGATTGAACTATTGAAGATGATAACTTTTTACTAATATCATCTGTTTCTTCTAATTGCCTATAAATTACAGAATCCACTTTATTCCAATAAATAGGATCCCATAAATCATCTATTAATGTAAATAATTCATTTGCATTAGGTCGTTTTAAAGGGCCAGTCTGCATCCTAACATTGATTAATAATATTAAAAATTAATTGAGGAGTTTTATACTAGTTACATCAGGAAATTTTATAGCGCGAAAAATTGCGTAAGTTTACGATTTTGTAAGTTTATGAAAGTTTATGGCATAATATTTCGAAAAATTTCAAAATATTACGTAAGTTTACAATTTCGTAAGATTTATGTGATATTACGGTTAAAATATTACGTAAGTTT